CACACACACACACACACACACACACACACACACACACACACACACACACACACACACACACACACACACACACACACACACACACACACACACGCAAACACACAACACACACAAGCGTCGCCAGGAACAAACGACAATCAAGCAGATCATGCAGGTATAAATGACAAATGCCCAACCCATCCCAATCTATGTCAGGACAGGACAGGATAGGGTCTTTTTACGCTGTACGTTGTACGTTGTTATGTGTCTTGATATTACATGAGATCCCCACAAACAGGCCAAACAGGCCAAACAGACCGGGCAGGCCCAGCCCAGGCGCAGACAGGCATCACCCCCACTCCGCCTATGCGAAATAGCTCTTCCACAACACGCCCTCCAGGTCCTCCAGCTGCTCGGATTCGAAAGCCTGCATTGTGTGTTAGCTAGCGGTCTATACATCAAGCCCCCCCCTGGGCTGCTGGAATATGCGCGTCCTACCTTGACGTCCACGTGCCAGGTGTCCTGCCTCGTCTTCTTAAAGTCGGCCAGGATCGTCTTGACGCTCTTGCCGACCGTGCCCGCGTCGTTTGCCGCGCGCAGCGCCAGCGTCGCGAGCACCTCCGGCAGCCAGCTGGGCGGCGGACTCGTGTAGGGAAAGGCCTGCACGAGCGCGCCCAGCCCCAGCACCGCGGCGTGCCGCGTCAGGATGAGCTTGCTGTGGTCTGGCGTCGGCGTGCCTGGCATGCGTTTCTTGGGCAGTGGGTTCCTTCGAAGCGTGGCCGTGAACTGGTCTTTGAACTTCTTCACCATCCGGTCGCGCAGGTGGAGGGGTGAGCAGCGGATCATGCCGGACAGCGTCGTTGCTGCCCCCAGGCGGACCTCGAGCTGTGCATCCGCAAGCATGGCCGATACGCAGTCAAACAGCGCTTGCTGCTGCTTCTCGGACATGAGGAAGAGACGGCGGAAGTATATGATCTGCATGTTGATGAGCACGCGGAGGCGCTGGTGCCACGACGTTGCATTGCGACTGATGCGGATGAGGGCCGAGATGAACTCCTCGTCCTCGCCAGCACGGTGGGGGATGTTTGGCATGTGGCGGAACACATGGTATGCGAGAGACTGCAGCTCGGGGTCTTCCTTAATGTCCATCATGTGGAGCAGCTGCTCCGTAAACACGTTCGGGAAGAACTGGATGAGCTGTGTGCACTCGTACGAGGCGAGCGTAGAGTCAAGCCAGAGCAGCACCGTCTTACCGCCCTGCGTGTACGACGACGGCGCCTGCTGCCCAGGCTCTCGTTCCCTTCTCCACCTTTCGAGCCTTTCAAAGACCTCAGTAACGGTGTCGGCATACTCCTTGCTCGGCTGGTACGGACGGATACCAATCGAGGACGATTCACGCTGCGCTTGCATCAAGCTGTCAATGTCTGGGTATGCCTCGTGGTATCGAGTCCTGTGGATACTGGCAATGGTAGTGCCCATTGCCTCCCGTACTCCCTTGTAAGGGTGGTCTAGGTGTTTCATAAAGTCTTCCAAGATCGGCTTCTCCAGCTGAAAGTGCCAGCCTGCATCCAGAATGGCCTGCTGCAACAGCTGGATCTTCGAGCTCTCCTTGAACGCTGCGTTCGATGTCATGTCGAGGCGGAAGCTAGCAAGCCAGTCTATGAGCGGCCAGCTACGGCGCGGGTCTTTGCCTTGGAGCACAAGATGCAGGAACGTCGTCCAGTAATTCGAGTTCTCCGGCGTCAGTCCATCTTTGAAGATGTCCCGAATGAGCGGAAACGTATATTCCCAAACCTTTGTCCGCAGCTCGGGCCTGAGGTCCGGTGCGCAGCATAGAAAGGCTCCCATAATCTCCGCAGTCGCTCGGTGCTGATGTTTGTCACTTCCGTCCCCAAAGACAGACTGTGTGAGATCCTTGACATCCTCAAAGCTGGCCTCCGCAAGCCCGGCGAAGACGAGCTCGAAAGCGTGCGTGAGCATCATCGCACTCGACATCCTGAACCGATCAGCGCCCGAATCTCTCGGTTCCTGCTTCATATATGCGAAAAACATCGAGAACCAGTGCCGATCAAGCAATTTGCCAATCTGCTTGCGGGTGTTGATTTCGACCTCGTCATAGTCGAGCGGGGGAGCCTCCGGTTTGAAGACCGGCATCTTCTTGTTCCAGACTAGCCATCCCGGGTAGTTGAAGTCAACGTAGTACTTGGCTTCAGGCTTTGCAAAGCTTTCAAGATACTCCCGAGTCCAGGCTGAATCACCACGCCCTGTATGGACCTCGGTCTTATCGGGAAGCTCCTCTTCGCCGAGAAGGTAATTCTCATAGTCATGAAAAGTCAGCGCCCGCGTCTGGATCAGAGAGAACAGTCCAACTAAGGCACCAGCATACAGCCCCCGGAGACTCGGATGCGGATCTATGGCTCCCTTGGTGATCAAATCGACCAACTCCCGCGATGCCAGGCTGTCAAAACGAGTGCCAAGATTGACGACAATGGCTGTCGTGCGACTTGCCTTCTTCCAATGCGACGTTCGCGCAAGTTCAATCAGATCAATCGCCAATTGCGTCTTCTTAGTTTCAATCCTCGTACGTTTCTTCTTGATAAAGTTGCGTCGTTTTGAGATCTTATCCTGCGTCTCTGGCGACTCGCGGTTCTCAAAAGCCACGGCAATCCCTTCCACAATGTCCTGATCAAGAATCACCATGCGCTCCAGGGGTTTGCCCATGTCCATTACCGAGAACGTAGCGTTGGACGCAAGCTTTTGAACGGACGGCTTATCAGCCCCGGTGACTTCTATAAAGGCCTTGATCAAAGTGGGCGTGAACCGCCAGTCGCGGCTGATGGTCTTTGCCAGACTACCGAACAAGAGGGAGAACATTGCACCCTTGATCCGGGGAAAGTCATTCTCCTTCACTGCTTTCTCCAATGCTGTGAGTAGAGGCGGGATCACGACAGGTCGAGCTCCGATGATACATTTCACCGCAGATTCGTTGGCCGTCTGCGCAGTTCGTCTGATTTCGGTGTAGAGTGATACGCTCGAGTATGCCAAATCTAGTAACAGAATCTTCTCCAGCTCCGTCTTGCGCCGAGGATTTGCATTGTGCCTTAGGCGCTGCAGATGGTACACGTTGGCGCGACGTACGAGCAGAGGACGAGGATAGTCTTTCCGAAGTCCGCTGAACTTGAATGGGTGTACGTCGGCTTGTAGCAGACGTTGGACTCTGTCGAGAACATGTGCGGAGCGTTCGATACCAACATCAATAAACCACGAGCGGTAGGCGTTGTAGAGGGAATTGAAACACGGTACGTCATCTTCTTGCTGGGTGGTCAAGAAGTCGTGGACACAATGAAGCGTCTCGCCAACATCTCGTCGAAGTTCGTGGATCATATTGTATTGTGAGCCTCCGCGCTCTAACGGGTAGCCCGACTCGTACTGAAACGTTGGCTTGACCTCTTCATCTTCAGCCTCCCCGAGGCCCCCATCTTCTTCGAGGCCTTCAGTATCAGCTCCATTCGCCTGGGTCGATGTGTCGTCGATGTCCATATGGTCGTCGCCCAGTTGATGCTTCGGATCGAAAAGAACTGATATCCCTGATAGAATGAGACGGAGTAGGACAAGGTTTCTCGAAACCTCGTCAGACCAGTCTTTACCAGTGCCATCACGCTTTATAGGTGACTTGTCTCCAGTTAACGCATTTAAAGCTGTTATGGCGTGGTTTGCCTGCGATTTGAACAGTTCAACGGCAAAGTCTACCTCCTCGGGACGTGGCTTGTGCCATTTCACATCCAGGCTTTTGGGGTCTGGTATGTGGCCCCAACTCTTTGCGCTCAAGCCGGACTCTACCTGCTCATCTTCGTATATCGCATAGTCGATCGTATAGGTCATGGTAAGATTGAGCAGGAGGTGGTGTATGAAGTTGGAGATGTGGACGGTAGGAATACCCTTGCATCGCTCCTGCATGAATAGGGCGATATCGAAGAGTTCCTGTCGCCAATCAAGGACGGCATCGCCAATATGCACAACGCACATGCTCAGCAGGCTGATATTCCACACCAAGGCGCGATCCCTGGGGAATACTTCTGAACCGGTTGTTCTAGTAGACCCAGCGCCGTTCTCGTCAATCTCTTCTCTGATCCGTGCAATGAGCTCAGGCAATAGCCGTTTAAGGGCCTTTTTCGGGTTTATCTTGACCAGACCATTGCAAATGAACGCCATTGCATCTCGCGCTTGGTGTATAACATGATTGGTAACGAAATTGGCAATCTTCTCCAGAGCGAGATCGTACAGCTCAGGCGATAGAGCTGCAAGAAGTGGAGTCATTGCTGCGGGAAGCGTGTTGACAACGTTCTCCTCTGGTGAGCCACTTCTTACTCGCGAGGCATCCGGAAGGTTCTCCAACAGGGTGAATACACGGCCCAAGAACGAACTCAGAAACTCCGACAGCCCTGTCGTGGACGATCGTAGGATCAACTCTTCCTCATGATCTGACAACTCCTCGTTGTAATCAATCTCGATCCCTGCTCCTGCGTTCTCGAGGCGCTCCACTTGAGACGTGATCCACTGCATGGCAATCGTAGTGTCAACTGGCTCTTCGATGGGTGTCTCTGCACCTTCTCTGTGACCGTTGCTAGACCCGTTGATCTGTTTTTGCTCTTTCGTCAAGTCGTGGAAGGGAACGACGTAGCAGACACCCTGGATATACGACAGCGTGTGGAGCGTCTTGTCCAAATCATTCGCGTCAATACCCGGAAGAGCCAGACCCAAGACAGCTGTGACGTGACACCTGAAGCCCTTTGTGCGTGCCATAATCTTCGAAAGCATGTGCAAAGCTCTAATTGAGGATATCGTCCTATGCACCTCCACAAGACCTTGCATGGCGGGATATATTTTCTGCAAAGCTCCTGGAAGGATCAGGTTCGGCTCAAGGTAGGCAAGGCTTTGGAGAGTTTGCAGAGAGTAGCTCATAGCTGTACCGCTTTTGGCAAATATTCCCATAAAGACAACCTCCCTCAAGCACAGCACAAATCGCCTTCGCAACGGCGCAGTAAGCCTCCGTGACTCTGGAACTTCCATCTCGCCGCTATGCTCTCGATTCCATCTCATGACGAAGAAGTCTGCCAAGTAAAACACAAGCTGAGACAGTGTTTTCGTCCAGCTTCCAGAGTTTGAAGGATGAAAGAATGTTTCGATGGCTTGTATTAGTCCTTCCAGCTTCACCAGGATAGAATCAGGATGTGTCAGACAAGCAGGCGATAGGGACATGACGATCCAGCGTGCAATATGGTGAGCGATAGGATGTTTTCGTTGATCCCGATCTAGCATAATAGCCAAACCCGCCATGAGATCTACTGTACTGCTATAAGGAGAAGTGGCCTGCCCTACTGGAATCTCCAGCATCCGCAATATAGCTGTAAATATTAGCTCCGATTGCTCTGCAGTAAATATACCATGGTGGGAAAATGGAATGTGTTCAACTGTCAGGGTGTCGCGTGCCATTCGGGAGGCGATGTCGAGAAACTGAATATCGAACAGTCTCGATCTGTTGATCAGCGACCATATATGGAAGAATGTGGGTAGAAAATGTTGAGGATATAGCTCTTTCTGCCCTTCCGGTGGAGGATTCGTGGGCAAGAGAAGGTTTAGCAACCCAACCACGACGTATGCCTCTTCGGTGAAAGAAGTGCTAAAAAATGGAAGGAATTCTTCAAACATCTTCGGTATCTCTTGCGGGTCGAAGTAGAGCTGTGCGAATGTGCAGAGTTTCGTCAACGTTCGAATGTTTCGTTTCACATTGGCTGGTCTCGAGGTTCCTGTTTCTGAAGGAAGAACAAACACCTTCAATTCCTTGTACAGCGGCCTCCAATCGAGCGTCAAGTCTTTATTGGGCCGCAGGTAGTGCTTGCGTCTGCGTGAATGTCAGTGACAGCATCTTGAATATAGGGTCGGCACTGGTGCTTACTTTGTCAAAACCATAAACATGCTGGCAAAACGCTCTGCAACCAGGTAGTCCAGGCCAGGGGCAAGCGCAAGTTCATAGTATAGCTTAACCAGGCTTATCCTCACATCCCGCGGCATGTCGAACTTTAGTGACAGCCACCCCCGAATCTCTCTTGTCCAGTGTACTGCCCCAGGAGCAAAGTCGCCTGCCGCCACCGCGATATACAGGTGCTCGATGCATGTTTGGAGATTCTCCTGGCTCACTGACGGATCCTCTGTGGTATATGGAAGGTATCTGAAGTATGGAAACGTCCGAGGCCGACTCCGATCCTCGAGTTTGCCTCTGTCTTCCCCGTACACATGTCCGTTTGTGGATCGCCAGCCTCCACCCGGCGAAGTAGCACGAGATATGTCAGTCGGAGCGGAAGTGTCTTCTGTACTCATAAGTTGCGCTATGCGATCGTTCGCTGCCATGATGTCGTGGAGCAGGCGTTAACGGAGGTAAGCGGCGCAGAACGGAGGTAAATAGGAGGAGGATTTGAGGGAAGGAAGTCGCGGACGGTCATCAACGATATCTGTGCGACGTCAATGGACACGGTCTTCGTGGTCTGCTGCAAGCGCGGGTTAGTGAGGCTGCTGTGGGATGAGAAATGAATTGTGATGGGCCTTGACACGACACTACGCGGCAGCGATGATCTGGCGGTCGTACAATACCTACCAGGCAGGGTAATGCTTACGAGTGGCAAAGGTGGGAGACTTTCCAAGGGGGTTCGACGTAACAGTCTCAGAGCGCACAAAGCTCTATAAAGGCGAGTAAAAGAGCTGCTGGTCGTCGGGTGGTGCTGATGGGAGTTGAGATGATAGAAATGGTCGAGGAGCTAGTGCCACAAGGCTGCGGTGATGATGCAAGTTGAGTTCTCAACACTACTCTGCATTCATGTGTATTACTGCAAGCGGATAAATGCTTTACTGAATGAAAGCAATGGATCAAGCTCGCCGCACACAGACAAGCTAAAGACTCGAATTCAAGAACAGTATTGACATGTAGAGTCTAGGTATGGTAGATGATGGTAGACAAACTTCGAAGTTGGGGGCCGATAGACTGAAGGCGTAGGCTAAGCTGCCTTTTATGGAGTGTTAAAGGACTATTAAGGCGCGTAGGCAGTCGCGCGACACGCGGTACTCGACATAACTTTGGGACCTTGTATGCATAACACGTAAGTGTCGGATCTTGCAACTATTACACAGCCTTCCTACATCACTATCTACAAATTACTTCCATCAGCTTCTTCTCCTGTCCCAAGGAAGGTAAATCGTATTGTTAAGAGTGTTGGTACCTAAGGCACTCTTTTATCCAACGCCCCCACGCGCGCCTGTTGGAGTTACGTAGCGCGCTTCCGGTGTGTTGACCTCCTAGGTGGTTAGGTGTATACTATATACGCCATCAAAGTGTGTATATAATACGCAGTACTGGATCTGGTCTTACCATCACTCACCATGTCGTCCTACTATTCACCCTCGGCCCTTCTCACTGATGCGCAAAAAGTGCCGTGTACCTTCACTCTTACTGTGCCCGGTCTTGGCTATCTCGACGCAACACCAGAGGCCGACCTTGCATCTGGCACCAAGGTCTCTCTACCATTGTGGCTAGGCGAGATGCTCGCCATAAGTCAAAACCTCTCGACCTCCTCTCTTGTCAAGCTCGACTTCCCCCCAGCCTTGAGCGAGAGGGTGTTGAATGCTCTAAAGGCAGATCCACGCACCGTCGACCTGCGGCAGCAAGCAGCAAACTTTTACGCGCTAGGCATCAGGATGCTAGATTTATTCGAGCATGAGGAGATGGGAGAGGTATTGACTGAAGTAAGCTTCGAGAGAGTGTCTTGCTATGGACTGTACGGTTAAAAGTGTGCTCAGACATTCAAGACACGTGCCGCTTCTATAGCGGACCAAGCGCATAATCCTAGAGGCGCTTTGGGCGAAGGTGCCGACTTCCTGCGTGGACTAGATGAGAGTGAACGCGAGCGTAGGTCATCCTTAAGCGAGCACGCGCATAAATATACTCACAACGCCCTCCAGTGTTCAAGGCCGCTCACGACAGTTCCAAAGCTGTACGGACGTGGATGGCGGAGATCAGTAAGAAATGAGTGGCGACCATGGAGCAGACTCAAGGATACTGGCGTTTTAATCTGCAGAGGGATGACTTGCATTGCACAGGCGTTCAAAAGAGGGTACAAGCGCGTTTTACTAATATAAACGTGTGTATATATATGATACGTATTAGTATGACTACATAGACCGGAGGAAATCTTTGAGCCATCTGAACTATGCTCACGCTTTGCGAAAGGCCTCGTGTGCACATGCCGTTGCATCGGCGCAGAGCAAAACACACACAAGTATGGTATAGAACGCCTTACAGAAAATTTTAGACTCAAGACTTGTTGAACATATTTGCGAGGTTTCCTCCAAATAGTTCTTTGATCTGGTCAGGAGAGTATCCAATGAATACTGGCCCAGAAAACACCATCTGTGGTGTGTTAGTTGGGCGCACAACCTGTGCATCATGTTTCATGGCTGGTGCTGGACATTTGGCTGGATCCGCTTGAACTGGGTATGGTTGAGGCGGAGGTAACAATTCGTCGTTGTGATGGACGGCTCGTTGCGGTTCGGTCGATTTGGCATCAGCAATATCAGTTCCAGGTTGCTCCGACTTAATTGCGTGTGGAGGTTGCAAACCTGGCAACTGCATCTTGGTATGATCAAAGGGACACTTGCCGGCGGGCATGGTGGGTGGGGGCATCTGTTCCAACTGCGGTGAGGCTGTAGCTGGTGATGCGTTTGAAATGACGCTTCCTGCCCGCGAGTACTTGAGAGGAACTTGAATACCCCATGGTCTCGACGGCGATTCGCCGACACGAACTTCCTTCATGGGTCGATCAAAACGGGACTCCCTATCCTCATCCAAATCGGCTGTTTCCTCCTCCTGAATACCGTTCGGTAGGACAGCCTCGCCATTCTCCATGCTGTTATTGACAGTATTCGCCCACTTTTGTATCTTGGAGACGTCTCTATCCTCCGGATCAACATCGGGGTCTTCCTCGTCTTCGACAAGATTCAGAGGTAGGAGTGGCTGGTGCTTCTGCCCAAGACCTTGGATCATGGACACGAGATTCCCATACTTATTGTCGAGCTGTCGGATCTGGTCCGCGTTACTCTGGAATCGCTTGATACACACTTCGTGTGACCTTGGAATCTCATGTTTGTGCTTTTCAAAATAGCTCGCGACCTCTTCTGGTTTATGCTGGTCCAGGAAGCGAATCGGACAGACAGCCGTGGTAGCCTCCTCCACATTCACTTCGGGGGTCTTCCCTGCCATGGAATCTCTGCCACATATTTCTGCCTGTATGGGGTCACGGAAAGACGATGTTCTCGAATGTCGAGTGTTCGAGCTCGAGTTGACCTTTGACACGGAGCTTCTCCGGCTTGTAAAGGAACGTCGAAGGTTGCTGGGAGTTCGGACTTTTGCGAACGGGCAATTTAGCTTGCTTGGCGTTCCTGGGATGGTGAAGTCCCGCTCAAGTACGTGTGCATCGGCTGGCTCAGTTTGTCCATTGGGTTGTTCTGCAATGTCAGGCAGTTTGTCGGTAGATACACCATTCCAGATCTTGACACCATCCACTTCTTTAATAGCTGCATGCTCTTTCAACTTCTCACACGCTAGCTCGGCCTGTATTATCACATACGCGTTGTTCCTTCGCTGCGATAAGGTGTGCTTCGAGAGCTTCTCGAGCCAGTTTGTATCACCATGTCTTGGGCTTTTTCCGGCTTCCTCTAGCTCCTCGAGGTATTCTTTGCGATCCTGAGTGGAGTCTTCAATGAGGTCTGTCGAGCATCGCTGAATGATATCCAGATGCTGCAGTCCATTGATTAGTCGAGTGAGGTGGGCTAAGCAAAAGAAAAGTATTGCATTCCGGTAAGACAACGGGTCAGAACATAACAAAGAGTGTCTCTCATAGCATATAGCTAGAGATCTAGAGCTAAGTTTGATCATCACAAAAATGACAAGGGATAGTGGTGGAAACATGTATGGTATAAAACTCACCTGTTGTTTAGCCCAGTTCAGCTGCTCTTCAAGCTGCCTATGCCGGTCGAGAAGGATTCTATACTCTGCAGACAGGGCGATGAAGCCTTCTGTAAGCTGGTCGGCGAGTAGAGCTATTGATCGCGTGTGTTCTGCAGCCATGGCTATCTTGTTGGTTGTGCGAGTCTCCGACGCTGACGTAGGTAGGGTGGATAGACCGACAAAGTTATCCAAAGTGACAAGTGATGACGTTCCGTGATATGTTCGCAGCCGTCAAGCGTGGCCGGAAATAGTATGATTACATCGGAAACCACGCAACAGGAGAACTCAACGTTGTGATGTGAGTACTTAGACCGTGTGAAGAGATTATCAAGCAGGACGAATTCGTGTGATGGAGCAGAATCTCCAAGGGTCCATTGTCGGCGTCGGAGTATTATGGACGGATCAACTGATTCAGCCAGCAAATCATCACGTGAGGTTGACCTAAGCACGTGACCTTCAGGCAAATATCAAAACCCAATCTGAAATCAGGAATCTAGTCATCTCACAACATAATAAATCATATCCGACTGCAGCAATGGAGGTACAGCCGCGTTCCTCGACCGATCTAGTGGACCTAATCAAAGAGCTGGGGAGAGACTTTGACTATCACTAAATTATTCTTCTCCTAGGCAGTATCCTGTCTCTGGCGGCAATAGCACTGAATATGTTAACTTGGCCGGAGTCACAGCCTGAACGAAAGGGGCTGTCAACTTCCATACGAACTCTTCATGATAGGAGATGGTGTACACTGGAAATCGATACACAACAGCTACATTTGGCTCTCTACCCACTTCGTACACTAAGAGCGCCTGACCGTTGAACGACCGAACCACGCACTATATTACCTTCTATAACCAACGGTAGCTACATCGTGTGATACTGGATGCTTCAGGCGATCACACTTTAGAATATACTCAGAGCATGTAGGACAACTGCGTGGTCAGCTCCGTTATACTAAGTATATTTTTTTCATTAGATGTCAACCAAGACCGCAGATCCATGGACCTAGGTAATGACGCACCATTTCCTTCTACTGCTATCGGTATGCACGTCAAGCACACGACTACTTGTACTGGTCACAGCAGAACCTCAGCATCAGCTGGGGCGAAAAGATAGAAATTCTCAGCAACACTAGCAAGCAACCACAGTTGGCCGCATCTAGGTCGACTCATTATGAATGATCCGGGCTAACTAAAGGAAGTACCAGTATCACGGCTCACGTATAGATCCTACATGTGAGAGTCATTTTCTTGACATTGCCAGTGTGCTGCAAGTTGACAGCCGGCTTACTATTCTTGCCATGTCTCATCGTTCTGAGTCTTGGGGGATGTTCAGGTGAGGGTGTAGCCAGCTCCCAATGTAGTGGACCGGCAAATACCATTCTCGAGCATATCTGGGCCTGGACGTTATCATTCGCGATTGAGAGCATATTAGCCGGTCACAACATCATGCCTCACTCATAAAATAACCCGTCCAGCCATAGCTTACGCCACCCACCAAGCAACGATAATACAGTATTCTCAGCAATATTCCACACGAGAGCAGGAAAAACTTCTAGCATTCGCATGGGTGTTGTCACTAGCATTGCCTTGCCAATCCAGAGTGACGTCGCCAGTCCTTATCCAGGACTTGATGCTAGTCACACCACAGAAAGCCACAGACACTCACGGCACCGATATATCTTGCGCGTGTGTTGGGTAAAAGGTAATATTATCTGAATACGAGTACCGGAGACGAGTAGACTGTCAAATCGATATGCTCCACGTTGTCTGTACTCATGAATCAGTACCAATGCATGTGGCGAGGGCATCGCAAAAACTACGGGACGGCTGTCACCTGTCATGGAAGGATATGTACGGGAGCATCTTGCCGCAAGTGAGGGGCTTACCTCGCCGCTTGAGATCTGTGTCAGTGGTACGGGGAAGGATAGCCTGTTCAGTGGGTGGAGAACGGATGTTCCCTCGTCACATTATCGAGTCTCCCCGGATTCCCGGGCCGATCTGCGCTTGGGTCATGACAGATTTCATGCTTACAATATAGAAGCCATATTGAAACGAATAGGCGCTTTACATCTCGTAATATGATACTAGTCTCAAGCACTCGAGGGTGCAATTGCCATGATCGACATTCATGCACCGCCGTGAGACATCCATATCAGCACGATGGTCACGCTCAATCAGTACCCTGACCTGAACGGGACAAGTTCTATCCAGTCAAACACAGGCATGTAGCGACTCGCCGCCATCATGCCCATGACAAGACCGAATCCACAAGAGTAGTCCAACTCTCCCCATAATCATCAATCAGTCCACACAACAACAATACCACAAACTACTCCACCTCACGGCACCTTCACCACGTAACAACACACGCCCAGATCAAGAAAACGCACCATCAAATTCCCCATGTAACTACACCCGCCTCGGCCAGCCCTAGCGTCGCTACCATAAAAACACCCTTCTGCACGTCTTCCCCACTAGTCCAAACCCGGCAACTCCTCGTCCCGCCCATTCTCCCCGCACTCAAATCGTCACAAACTCGACTCGGTTTCCCATACCACACACTGATTCCCACCCCTCCCCATCCGCATCAAGCACAATTGATAACGAGTCGTCTAGTTATCTTAGCGCAGATGGTAGGCCCCTCCCGAGTCGCTATCTACCACCACTACCACCACTACTACCCCTCCTTCCTTGTTTTGACAGCACGCCGCTCCGGTGCATCGCGCGCATCGTGAGGTAGCTTGTTAACTGCCGGGCGCTGTTTCGGCCTGGGAAGGTGATATTGGCATCGATGTGTATGTCTGCGCTACGGTGTGCGTTGTGTGGAACGTTGAGTAGAATCTGGATAAGCAGATTGAAGTGCCGTCAGGTGTGTGAGGCGCGGGGTTTGGGGAGGGGAGGGGGGTTAGTAAGGGGGACTGCGAATGGAGAGTGTCGGTGTAAGAAAGAGTGGTAAGTTTACTTTAGTCATCATGATTTGCGTGGTACTTTTGCTTCTAGGTTCTTGTCTGGGTGTTTATTTATAAGAAATTGTACGTGCGAGCGAATGTCTCGATCGGGATGGTAAACGCATCCAATATGTTCTGCGACCGAGGATTATAGCACGAAGAGTGTTTTTTTTTTTTGGTTCTCATCTTGTTCCTCTTAGATTCTGCATTCACTGCATCATTATTTGGCCCAGATATACAAGGATATTCCGTTTCATGTCTCTCACTATCGATATTTCCATCCTCCTGTCTCCAACAACAAAGTCCACACTAATCAAGGTTACATTTCACATTCGTCTACACATTCGCCCAATTGTCAGTTTCATATGCATGTACGTATGCATATTTCACGTATACTTATTTGCCCACCCATCTATCTATCTACACTCATGCATAGACAGCCTTACCAGCTGATGCATGTTTCAAGAAGCCGATTCTGGATTCTAGACTCTGGATTCTGCATGTTGGACAAGGCTGAGACATACGAGGAGCTAGACTGATAGGGAGAATAGTCAATCGCACGTGCAGATAGGCGGGTTCAGAAGGGAGTAGGAGAAGGAGTAGATAAGAAGGCAGCCAGACAGGCCAGCCGAGGAACGGATAGACATGTACTCGCACGGGTAGGTAAGTATCTAGTAGCACAAACAGATGAAACGGGACGCCGAGGAAGAGAACATGCAGTAAAAGAGGCAAGCGTGGAGACGGACAGGGGAGCAGACACACAAACGGGTATATCTGATATGCGACAGGTCCGCGGGCAGGCAAACAAGCCAGTGAATGCAGGATAGGGAAACAGGTAGACAAGCGGATAGACCTGCGGGGACCATGCGCGGATAAAGCAGAAACGATACGCGGATAATGCAGAAAAAGCAGGCAGAAAGGTAAGGCTGAGGCTGTGTTTGGATGAATTGATGAAAGAAAAGGTGGGTTGGTAGGTGGATGGATGTTCCACGAAGCATTGTCCTCGCACATTCACTCATAAACGCGCCAAGCAAGTTGCTGGATGACTGCATACTCGCGCCAGGCAGACAAGGTAATGCATGGGATGTAAGAACGGCATGGACAGATGCAGGAACCGTTTCCGCAGCCTTCAGCCTAGTCGGTGATGCATGCCAGCCTGGCTAGGGTGCATTGCCTGATCTAGGGATGCATGATATCTAGGATGTCCTGATTCCATTACCGCTGTTTGATATTCTGGTTCGCGGGTGGTCTGAAAGCCCAGTGTGCGGTGTGGGAAAATGTCTGTTGTCTTTGTTTTGATAATCTACATTCGGCTACCTACGTCCTTGTTCCCCGGCCTGGGCTCTAAGCTGTGGTCCTCACTTTCGACTTCCTGTTTCATTGATGGCTGTAGTAGTGTCATTAAACCGTCCAAGGTGTTCTTACACTACATATATATGTTCTCTCTTAATTAATTAACGATCTTTCCATATGTGTCATAAGTATACGTTTTATATTTTCATTCCCTTTCTATCTTCTGGCTTCTGTTCAAGTCATATCATCTAGAAGAGTAGGATGAAGCAAAGTGTGACAAAGAAAAAAAAAGTGGATAGATCACAATATACAATATAAGATTTCCTACTTCGAGCACGATGAAGGCAGCACTGTCTGTACATTTGTTCAACACATAGGACTATCAAGTATCAAACATTTCTCATATTTCTCTTTGTAAGTAGTACCCAGTTATGCCATGAGTATAGCTGTATACATGACATCGTACATACGTATATACTCCCGCCATAACCAACTTTCTACTACCCTTCTGTCCCCTCTCTCCTCCTTCACACTAAACACTACTCTGAACTACACTACACTACACTAAGCATCCATCCAAGTAAACTAAACGAGAGATCTCGTGGGTATCGTCAGTGAACCGTAAACACCCAAAACACCAGCTGTGCATTAAAAACCCGCAAAAAGAAACTAAAGAATGCAAAGCGGCATAGACTGTAAGAACCACTAAGAAGGTGAATTGAAGAATTGTGTATGCGGGCATTAGTACCGAGAAATGAGTGAGTGGTATGCGGGATCATGTTTGATCGGCCGTGACGAGATTTGAGAAGACATGTGAGAACGGAATATGCGATGGGAATGAAACGACCGAGTACATGTGCGGAAGAGCGATGTGCAGAGAAAACACGGCGTAGAACAGGATAAGATGCCAGTGTACACGGCCTGTGTGGCGGATGGTCGGTATACAGCCTGTGCTGTCTGGTGGTCTGGTGACAGCGTGTTCCGGATGTGTTGTGTCGCAGTGTGTAGATGGAAATATATGCGGGATACCAGGGGAGATGGTGGCGGAAGTTCTGAGGATAGACGGGTTCTGAGCCATGCGCTGGCGTAGTGTGTGAATGAGTGAGTGATGATCTTCATACCTTCGATCGTTTTCGACAAAGACGTATGCAAGAATGCATGCAAGAGAGTAAGAATGCAATCCCCGTTCATCGTACGCAGGGCCGCATACCCGCAAGCAGAACTCTCCAACTCTGCCCCAGTGCCGCGCTAGAATAACGCTAGCAGGCAGGGAGGCCGAGGCCGTCCGCCCACCCCAGCCACGTTCCGTCCGCGCCAAACCGTAAGCAGCATAATTGCTGCTAAATAAAGCACCAAGCCAACAATACACACACGCACAGCGTCATCATCAGTAATAAGAGTCAGTCGACACCACCACTCACTCTGCAGAAGGTACTCCGCCCCCTACCGCAACCCCAACAAGCTCTTCTTGCGCCTCAGGTTCCGCGGCTTGGCACTCTTCCGCGCATCATCCTCGTCCGCGTCCTGCTCGTCGTGACCGTCATCGAGGAACCCAAAGTCGAACGTGGACTCGCGCTCTGCAGCGCCGCGCGGTATGAGTTTGCGCTGCTGCTGCTGGCGCTCGGGACACGGTGCGGCAGGCCGCTCGGGGCTGGAGTCGAGGAAGGCGAGCAGATCGGCGGTGATGGACGGTTCGCGGTCCTGGGTGCCGGCGCGGGGCACGAGGCGGCGGGGTTGCGGCGGCGGGGTTGGTGGCGGGACGGATTTCTTGGGCGAGATGGTGAGTTTGGCCATGACGAGGGATTTGGAAATGGAGCGTAGGCGTCTGTGGGTTGTGCTGGGGGAGCGCGCGAGTGGAGGTTGGGTGTCTGAGTTGAAGGGGTCGGAGGAGAGGAATGAGGGTGGTGGAGGCGAGTAGGAGAGGCTGGATAGGCGAGGCTCGAAGGAGGATTGTCGCTTTGTGTCGCTGTCGTGCGTGGATGGCCATGTGGAGGTGCGTGATGTGGTAGTGCTGGTGTGTTCTGTCGAGGACTCCGAGATGGACATGCGAGACGTAGTGGGGTCGTGGATTGTTCGACGTCGTCTCTCGTCAACGGAGGATGGAGACGAGCGGGCTGATGCATTGGAGGACGATGGCGAGGATGTGAACCTAGGGTAGTGGCCTGCTGGTGCAGAGAAACGATAGCTTTGTGGTGTTGGCGGCACATCTACGAGAGTCGGCGTTGCTGGAACGATGCACACCAGCTGGGCCAGCTGGCCGGGATGTTGCACTATAGGCTTGTTTGCTATCCGGAATGGAACGGCCTCTGCACTCTCGACTTCGTACACCTCGACATCGTCATCAAAATCCAGCAGAGATTCGGCCATGTCTGCATCTTCGGATGAGAGATCCTCCTCCGAGGACAGATATCTGGTGTGGAATTGGTCCCTTCGCGCCTCTTCTGTTTCAAAGTTTTCCGACGCAAACTCAAACTGCTCGGACCGTATCGACTCTGGACTCGACACTTCACTGTTCGAGCGTACAGGTCGACGCTTGGTCGACTTCTGCAGTTGTGTCCACTGCTCAGACATGGCGAGTGAAGTCATGGTGAAGACGGGGAATCGTCAAGTTCTTTCCAGGGCGGGTGGCTGTTGGTCAAATAAGACGGAAGATCGGGTCTTGCCAGGGTATAGCTGACTCGCTCCAAGTACTGGAATGCGAGCGCTCAGACTGTAATCTGTCGGAAACGGAGCTCGACGAGGAAATATACAGTGGAGCCGTGAGGACAGTAGTGGCGTAGTCGACGTATATTGCGGACGACGGCGACGGTTTCCGTGGCTAAAGTGCAAGTTTCATATACGGACTTGCATAGACAGGCGTGCTTAGCCGGAGGTACTGTGGTCGATGGTCAAAGGTAAACGGTAGGTTGACGGGTGGGCGAGGTATGTCAATCTGCAGAGAGAGATTCAAGGACGAGAGTATGAGAGGTTAAGGTCTCTTATGAATAGCAGCCAGTGAGCGATCTGTCTATTTTACCACATTCCTCGTCCTTGCTGGGATGTCCGTGTGAAGAAACAGTTAGGGTAACAGATGGGATGGAGGGGGGGGGG